CTTTGAAGAAAGTATGAAACGGACCCCTTGAATTGCAGCAGCTTTTGGCGGTGGAGAATGAATATTTTGAGAAATGCGTTGTATGAAAACGACCCCGAATTCAGCAGTTCTAGAGGGTGGGATGATGATATTTGAGAGAAACGGGGCATGAACACCCCCGAATGCCAAGATATCAGTTAAGGCTGGCGAGGTTCATCTTTTGAGAAAAAAGGTATAAACGACCCCCGAATTCAGATAGACTTGGGGAGTGGATAATCATCTTTTGAAAATGGGTATGAAACGACCCCAGAATGCCCAGCATAGTTCTTTTGGTATGTAGGATTCATCTTTTGAGAATAAGTATGAAAACGACCCCAGAATGCAGCCATAGTGTTTGGGGAGGTGGAGATTAATCTTTTGAGAAATGTGTATGAAACGACCCCCGATATGCAGCCGTAGTCTTTTGGAGTGGGAGATTATCTTTTGAGAAATGCGGTATAAACGACCCCGAATCAGCATAGTTTTTTGGAGTTGAGGATTAATCTTGAGAAACAGTATGAAACACCCCCGACGAATGCAGCAGAGTTTTGATGGTGGGAGGATAATCTTTTGAGAAATGTATGAAACGTACCCTTGAATGCACATAGTCTTTGCGCGGTGGAGAATGAATATTGAGAAATGGTATGAAACGACCCGGAAAATCAGCATAGTCTTTGGCGGTTCGCGAGAATAAATTATTTGAAAATTGCAGTATGAAACGGACCCCGAAAATTCACATCTTCCTAGAGGTGGATGATGTTATTTGAAAATCGGCATGAAACACCTCCGAAATGCAAGATAGTCATTTAATGTTGGAGGATTTCATCTTTTGAAAAAAAGGTTATGAAACAGACCCCCGAATGCTAGAAATATACTTGGGAGTGAATTAACATCGTTGAGAAATGTATGAAACGACCCCAGAAGCAGCATAGTCATTTAGGGATGGGATAATGCATCTTTTGAGAAGAAATGGGATGAAACGACCACGAGTATGCAGCGTATTTTTTGGTTTGGAGATTAACTATATGAGAAATGGTAGAAACGACCCCAAATTGCAGCATTCTTTGAGGTCGGAAGTATTAATCTTTTGAGAAATGGTATGAAACACTTCCGAATGCAGCATAGTCTTTTGGGCTACGGACGAGAACTAATATTTCAGAATTAGTGTATGAAACACCCCATGTGCAGCAGTCTTACTAGGGATGATGAGGAATTATTTGAGAAATGTCATGAAACACCCCGCTAATGCTGCATGGTTTAGGGGGTGGAGGATCATCGTTTGATAAATGGGGTATAACGACCCCCGAATGCCCAGCCATATGTTTTTGCATTGGGAGGATTAAGCTTTAGAAATGTTATGGAAACACCCCCGAATGCAGCATAGTCTTTGGGAGTGTAGGATTCATCTTTTGAGAATAAGCGTATGAAAACGACTCCGGAATGCAGCATAGTTCTTTTAGGAAAGTTGGAGATTAAATCTTTTGCTAGAAATGGGTATGAAACACCCCGATATGCAGCGTAGTCTTTGGAGTGGGAGGATCATTTTGAGAAAGGGTATAACGACCCCGCAATGCAGCAGAGTTTTTGGATGGTGGACATTAATCGTTTGAGAAATGGCTATGAAACCGACCCTGAATGCAGCATATTCTTTTGGGCTGGAAAATTGAAATTTTGAAAATGGGGTACAAACGAACCCTGAATGCAGCATATCTTTTGGCGGGGAGAATGAAGATTTGAGAAAATGGGTATGAAAACGACCCCCGAAATTCAGCATCTTCTAGAGGCGGGATGATGAATATTATGAAGAAATGGGCATGAAACGACCCACCGAATGAAGATATCATTTAAGGTTGGAGGATTCATCTTTTGCAGCAAAAAGGGTATGAAACCGACCCCGAGATGCCAGCAATAGTTACTTGGAGTGGATAATCCATCTTTTAAAATGGTAATGAAAACGACCCCAAGAATGCCACCAAGTATTTGGTGCGTAGGTTTCATCTTTTGAAATAAGGTATGAAACGACCCCTATATGCAGCGAAGTTTTTGCGGAGTGAGGATAATATTTGAGAAATGGGATGAAACAACCCCCAAATGCAGCATAGATCTTTTGAGTTCGAGGATTAATCTTCTGTAGATAATGAGATGAACACGACGCCCCCGAATGCAGCATAGTCTTTTGGGTACGGAAACGAATATTTTCAGATTGGGTATGTCACCAC